TGATGTTGATGATGATGATGATGATGATGATGATGATGATGATGTTGATGATGATGATGATGATGATGATGATGATGATGATGATGATGATGATGATCTGATGACGCTGATGATGGTGATGATGATGACGACGATGATGATGATCCACGCGGCTGAAGGGGACAGGAGCTCCCTGCTGGCCCTGCGCAGGCACCGCTCGGGCGCGTGCGCCTCGGCGCACAACGCAGATTCCGTCGGGTGCCCCAAGCTGGCCACCGCCGCGGCCGAAGCAGACGCTGGACAGACCCAGGCAGCAGCGAGACTCAGCGAACACGGCAGCAAGCGGGCTTCGGCAGCCGAACAGGCGCGCCGGCAGGCAGACCGACTGCACACCGCCGCCGAGAAGCAACTGCGCCCTCGCGAGCGCACCCAGGGCGCAGAGGCTCCTCAGGCCAGCGGAGAACGAACCAGAGCGTGGGGAGACCTACGTTCTCGGGTCGCCCCCCACGTCGAGACCGACGTGCAGGGCCAAGGCGCGCCAGGCGCGCCAAGCTGTATTGAACTGGGCGGCATGCGCGCACGCCGATAAAGGCAGCGCGCGTCTGCACCTCCCCATCGGCCGCGCAACCTGTCCCAGGGCATCAGGCCACGACGGGACTGTTGCATTGCCCATGGCGTCGGCGCCCGATCCCGAGTGAGGGCAGCCTTCACCCCTGTTTCGGCACCGTTCGAACGAAATATGGGAGGGCGCCACGCGCCGGACGGAAACAAGCCAAGCTCGAGACAGCTGCCGACGCGGGTGCTGGTGCCTGCGCGCGAGGAGCGAGAAGGAGCAGGATGACGGAGGGAGGCACCGAGCGCCGGAGAGAGCGCGGGTCTCCTCGCCTGCGGTGCCGAAGATGCCGCACGGGTGGAAGAAGAGCTCTGGCAACAGGCGGCTGCAGCTCAGGCAGATGACGGGGAGGGAGCACGAGCCCAAATTAGCCCACCCGCCCCCGTCCTCGTCCGCCTCGCTCAGCGCCGACGCGGCCGTCGGGTACAGCGCCAGGGCCTGGACGGAGGTGATCCAGGCGCGGGGGCCAAGGACGTCCTCCTCGCGGTGGAGTTGTGGCGTCGACGATGACGACGACGACGACGACGACGACGACGACGACGACCACGAGAACTTCGAAGGCCTACGACCTCCTCATCCTCCCCATCCTCTCCCTCCTCCTCTTCCTCCTCCTTATCCTCCTCATCATCAGCAGCATCATCAACATCAACATCATCACCATCGGCATCATTAACATCATCAGCATCATCATCAGCATCATCATCATCAGCATCATCATCGTCATGGGCAGCATCAACATCAGCAGCAGCATGAGCATCAGCATCAACATCATCATCAACACCATCATCATCAACAACAACAACAACATCACCATCATCATCATCATCATCATCATCATCATCATCATCATCATCATCATCATCATCATCATCATCATCTGCAGCATCACCATCGACATGAACATCAACATGATCGTTATGATCGCAATACTCAGAAGTACCGTCCTCCTCATCCTGGCCATCCCCATCCTATCACCGTAATCATCATGATCATCAGCATTAGCATCGTTACCATCAACAGAATCACAGTCAGCATCAGTATCATCCTAATCGGCATCACCAGCATCATCATCCTGACAATGACCAAAAGCATCATCAGCATCAACAACGCCCGCGTCATCGTCAGCAGCAGCATCATCGGCAGCAAGATCATCATAAGACCAATCAGCATTCGCGTCAGCATCACCATCATCAACACCACCAAGATCATCATGACCACCACAACCACCACCATCATCACCATCAACAACATCAAATGATTCATCATCGTCATCATCCCAATCATCATCATCATCATCATCATCATCATCATCATCACCATCACCATCACCATCACCATCATCATCATCATCAGCATCATCAGCAGCAGCATCTGTATCAGCATCACCATCATCAGCAGCATCATCACCATCACCAAAAACTATCACAGTCACCATCAGAATCACCATCATCATCACCATCACCATCACCACCAGCACTATCATCATCATCATCATCATCATCATCATCATCATCATCATCATCATCATCATCATCATCATGATCATCATGATCATGATCATCATCATCATCATCATCATCATCATCATCATCATCATCATCATCATCATAATCATCATCATCAGCATCAGTATCCTTATCCTCATCCTCATCATCCGCATCAGCACCATCATAAGCATAATAAGCATCATCATCAACATCAGCATCAGCATCATCATCATCATCATCACCGCCAGCATCATCATCATCATCATCAGCATCATCACCATCGTCATCATCAACATCTGCATCAGCATCATCAGCAGCAGCATCAGCATCATCACAAATCAGCATCAACATCACTCGTCATCATCATCAACATGACCATCATGATGAACATACTCAGTATTGCCATCCCTGTCATCCTGGTCATCCTATCCTCTCACGATAATCCTGATCATCCGCATCATCATCGGTAACATTAACAGAGTCACCGTCAGGATAATCATCATAATCAGCATCACCAGCATCGCCATAATGATGATGGCCAAAGCATCATCATCATCATCATCATCATCATCAGCATCATCATCCGCAGCAGCATCAGCAGCAGCAGCATCAGCAGCAGCATCATCATCATCATCATCAGTGCCATCATCATCATCATCAGCAGCAGCAGCATCATCATCACCACCATCATCATCACCATCATCATCATCATCATCAGCGTCCACCTCCTCCTGAACTCGCTCCTCCTGCTCCTGCTTCTGCTCCCCCTCGCCCTGCCTGCCCGCAAAAGGCCAGGGTAACAAGGACGGCGGCGGAGGGAGGGAGGGGGGGAGGGGCGAGCGCGGAGGAGGGGCATCGAGGCTCGAGGCTCGAGGCCCGAGGACCGAGGCTCGAGGCTCGAGGCTCGAGGCTCGAGGATGGAGGCCAGAAGCCCCTGAAGAGGCCCCCCGAGGCCTCCAGATGCCCCCACAGAGAGCGGCAGAAAAGCATCCAGGGACCAGGGCACCAGATCCTCTCGATCGATCCTCGATCCTCGATCCTCCAAAGAGAGCCAGGAACAATGTCAGGATAAGATTAGCCTCAGGATACCACTGGCGCTGCCAGTGCGGGGCATTAGGAAATGGGGGACCTCCTGGAAGCCTTGGAACTCCTGGAGGAACGCATCATTATCATGAAACAGAAATGCTCCACTGTCCGCGCGGATTTCTTGGGCCAAAGCCTGGAACCCCTTGGCGGCGCCTCCGGCGCCGCTCCCGGCGCAGTCCGCGCGCCCGGGAAGATGTTCAGCGCCGATCCAAAAAGTCCGCTCTGTGTGAGTTCGGCCGCTTTGCGATTCGCCACCCGCCCACTAGGGGCGGGAGAGAAGTGAGAGGGGGGGGGGGGAAACGTGCAACCTGCCCAAGCCCCAAGCGGCTGCAGCCAGGGAGCGAGAGAGAGAAGGGAGGAGAAGCAGGAGAACCCAGACGCTAAAGGCGGGGCCCCAACACGAACAAAGCTTTGCTGTTCCTCCGACGCTCGCTCCTCGACTGGCGCGCCTGGGATCCGCTTCAATTGGGGGGGGGGGGGGCGACAAATGGAGGGGGGGGGGGGGAAAGGTGCGCTTCTCTCGGCGGTGGACAAAACTCCCTGTAGCAAACCTCCCCTCAGTGAAAACGGCCAGGGCCCGAAACCGACGGACCCGAACCCGCAAAAATGGCGGCCGCGACGCCCTCTCGCGAACCGAAAACGGCCGATTCCTTAATCGACGTGTCGGGGTAGGAGGTCTATCCACCTCCGATTCTCGGGCCCGAAATTGAGCAGGGACCGACCGTCCCGGCATTCGTATAGTCCTACCACGAAATGTTCTTAGAACATAAACCCGATGTGATAAAACAAGACAGCCCCAGCCAGAAATGGTCTAAGAACATTTCGTGGAAACCACGTAAGGTTCCTAGAACATTGCTTGGTAGGGCTATGGGCGAGCCAGGACGCTTCGCCACTGCTTGACGAAAGGCCCCCCCTTTCGGACCCTACAGGGCGCCCCATTCCCGCAGCCCTGGCTGCCCGCCCCCCCTCGATTGCCCCCCCCCCGCTACGCGAGGCCCACCGCGCCCTCCTCCCACCCCCCGCCGGGCGCGTCCAGCAGCGGGCCCAGCCGCGCTGCGAGCTCGTTCAGCACGGCCGCCGCCGGCGCGCCGCCCCACTCCAGCGGGTCCTCGCGAGAGGGCGCCGTCGTCGCAGGTCTTCGCAGGACGTCGTCGGCGCCGTCGCCGTCGTCGTCGTCGTCCTCGTCGTCGTCGTCGTGACTGTCTTCGTTGGTCGTTGTCTCAAGCGAGGGGGGGGAGGAGGAGCGGGAGGAGGAGGACGAGGGGGAGGAAGAGGCGGAGCAGGAGGAGGAGGATCGGGAACCCCATCAGCCGTTGATTATGGCGAAGGTGGTCTAAGGATCAAGAGGCCCCCAAGAGCCTCCGGAAAAGCCCCAAGAGGGTCCCAGAGCGTGACCGCATGCTGCTACGCCCCTGATCAGGGCATCTCGCGTGGTGATTGTTTTGGGATGGGCTAACTGGTTTTTTTTTTTACAGCCGCAGGCGGAAGCGCCAGCGGCGGGCGGTCGCGGTCGGGCTGCGGCCGCGACTAACGGCGGGCGCGCGCGAGGCCGCGGTCAGGCGGCAGGCAGCGGCGACCCAGGGCGTCTGAGCCAAGGCGTGCAATCCAGGGAGTCTGCAGGGCAGCCCCTGAACGAAACATGCAACGGCGATTCCAGGGAGTCTGAACACAGGCACCGAGGAAGCCGAGCGCAGCCAAAATGGCGCGTAAGGCGCTCCCAACAGTTCGGATACGAACAAATAGGAACGGCCCCGAAGACGTCTATCCAGGGAGTCTGACGGGTAGCACATACTGACTGGCGACACAGTCCAGCGGGGAACCCTGACGGCGGATCAGAACATCGCGACGTCAGAACACGCATCCAGGGTGTGGAAACAGAGTAGCCAGATAGAACCTTCCACAACTGAGATGCGTCAGGCCCTTGGTCCAGCGACTGGTAAGGGCGCAGCAGTGTGCACGGAACCACACGGTAGGAACACGCAGCCAGGCTAACGGGGGCACGCGAAGCGTCAAGAAGTCTGCTGGAAGTGTTCGGCAAGGTCTGGGCCACTGGCGGTTTCCAGAAGACATCCCGGGAGAAGCGTGCCTCGGAGACGGCCCGAAACTCCGACGTCGGCGAGGGGGACGGAAACGGGAAGAGTAGGGAAAGGAAGGGGCGGCTCATTCGTTCGCAAGCCATGTCGGATGACACATCGGCCCAGTAAGGAAAAAGTGTTAGCTGCGCAGGAGGCGGCCACCTGAGATCAGAGAGTACACTCCAGCATCCGCCGGGTCAATGGAACAACTATTGCCGAACGGTGGCTTTCCAAATTGGATGCCCATGCATTGAAAACGTGGGGGGGGAGTGGCCGGAATAGAAGAGGAAAGGGGAGGGGGAGGGGGGGAGCGAAGGGCGAAGGGTAAGGGGCCTTGCCTTCCTCATCGAGGCCCCCGCTGCCACAGGCACAGCCAGGGCGCACACCACGTCCGCCATACCACCAAGTGCACAACGCACCAGAGGATGAAAATGAGGAGGAGGGCGAGGATACCCCACCCCAAAGCCCACCCCAACCCGCGCCCTCGTCTCCGACCCTTCTCTTCTTATGCTCCCTCCGATCCTCCTCCACATCCAACCCCCCCACTTCACCTCTAAGATCCTCCGCCTCCTCCTCAAGCCTCCTCCTCCTCCTCCTCAACCTCCCCCTCCTCAACCTCATCATTAACAGCATTATCATCACCATCGTCGTCAGCATCAGCATCAGTACCACCAGCATACTCATCATCTGCATCGTCATCATCAACAGCAGCACCAGCATACACATCAAAACCATCAGCATCATCGACACCATCATCATCAGCATCATCATCATAATCATCATCATCATCATCATCATCATCATCATCATCATCATCAGCATCATCATCATCATCATCATCAGCATCATCATCAGCATCAGCATCATCATCATCATCATCATCATCATCATCATCATCATTAACATCCGTATCATCATCAGTAACAGCAGCATCAGCATCAGCATCGTCGTCATCATCAACAGTAGCAGCAATAAAAACAACGACAGCAACAGCAGCAAAACAAAAAACAGCAAAGACAACACCACCAACAACAACATTCATTCTAAGACTGTTCGCTCTTACTTGCCCGCGTGTAATTCAAAACGAGTTCCCCACACCCTCGATACCCGCCGTTTTGGGGAGTCTTTCTCTTTGCGGGGGGCGGCGGGCTTAGACAGGCGGGCAAACCTGAACTGGCGGACAATCCTTCGTGGGCGTACATGTGTCCGCCATTGGAATTGGTGTGGGCCCTGCAAAAAGAGGAGGGGGACAACGAGGGAGAGTGGGAGGAAGGGAGGGGGAGGGACGAAGGAAGAGGGAAAACGCCAGGAGAGAAGGAGCGAAGAGGGGGGCGGTTGATTAGAGGCAGAGAGAGAGAGAACAAAAAAAGGAGAGGTAGAGAAAAAGAGAGAGGGGAAAGAGAGAAAGAAAAAGGGAGGGGGGAGGCAGGAGAGGGGAGGGAGAAGGGAGGAGGGAGATGAGGGAGAGGGGATAGGGCAGAGAGGCATAAGGATGAGGGAAGCGTGCCGGGAGAGAGAAGGGAGGGGAGGAGGGAGGAGGGAGAAGGGAGAGGGAGAGGGAGCAGGAAGGTAATAGCGTGAACGTTCGAGGAAGTCCTAGGCGAAAGCGCCGTTCCTGAAGGAAATCTCGGGCGGGAGCCCACGACGGGCGGGCGATCCCCTGACGGGCGGGTCGGGCGGGTGGTGGGACATTCAAGCGGGATGTCTGAGTATGGCGAGAACGCGATTATTAAGTAAAGTGTAACGGCGCCCTTGGCGCAGCGTGTTTCCTGAGCGTCGAAAGCGCGATTTATGAATGAATTGCATGGAAGTCACAGGCGAGAGCGCAATTCCTGAATAAAATGTGAAGGGCTCTCTGGCGGGAGCGGGGGTCTTGATTAAATTGCGAGGACGTCTGTATTCACTTGCGAGGAAGTCTCAAGCGGGAGCGCCGATCTCGAGTAAATTGCAAAGAAAACTCAAAAGGGAGCGGGGGTCCTGACTAAATTGCGAGGAAATCACAGGCGGGAGCACCGATCCTGAGTAAATTGTGAGGAAGTCTCAGGAGCGGGGGTCCTGGGTGAATTTGGAAGAAGTCTCAGGCGGGAGCCGTTGTTGTTGTAACCCGGGGGGCCAGGGGCCCAGTTCGAGCACCAAGACACTCCCTGTCAAAAACAGGGTGCGAGCATCGAGGCGCACACTCTGATAGAGAAAAAACCGCATGCACCGGAGAGGGGGGATCAACAAGGATCATTCTTCAGAAATGAGAGCTCAACAACAACAGCAACAACAACAACAACAAAAAGTTTAAGACTGTTCGCCCGTATATGCTCGAGTGTCCAATAACGAGTATTTCCCAAACCCTCGAAACCCGCCCTCTTCGTCTTCGATCGAACCCCTTTTGGGGGGTATACCTTTCTTCCCTGCAGGCCGGGCCCCGGCAAGCGGCGGGGCGGCCGCGGACCGTCGGCCTGGCCAGCGGCAGCGCTGATCGGCGGGGCGGCCGCGGACCGTCGACCCGACCCGAAGAGGGACGGACAGGGGACCGACCACGACGACGACGACGACGACGACGACGACGACGACGACGACGACGTCGACGACGGCGACGACGACGACGGCGAACGAGCGAGCGAGAGCGAGAGAGAACGACAGCAGGGCCACGAAAGGGCACGAAGTAGGCCACGAAGGGCGACAGCGGGGACACGAAGGGAATGCGTGAGCGCGAACGAACGGGGGCCACGAAGTGCAGATAATGCGTGGCCACACAAGGCAACTATGGGACCACTGAGGGTAGCAACTGGGCCACGTAGGACAGTGAGGGGGACACAAATGGCGACAGCGGGGCCACGAAGGGCATGCACATGGGGCCACAACGGGCGCGACTCCTGGGTGCCTGGGTGTCGGGAGCGCGGCGGTTGGGCAAATTGCAGGAAATTCCAACGCAAGGGCATTCTTCAGTAAGTTGTAAGCAAGTCTCCAGCGAGAGTGCGACTCCACAGCGCCGGGAGAGCGATTCCTAAATAAATCCCACCAGCCCTTTGGGCGTGAGTGGTTTAGCGAGCTCTCTCTGTTCTCAACCCCCCATCTTCCCCTTCGGGGAGGGGTTTACCCCTCCCCCTACCCCCTCCCCCTGGACCTGGACAGGGAGTCCGGGGCGTAGTCAGGGGGGTCTATTTTGTCTCCTGGGAGGGCCAAAAAACGACGACCCTCACGAGGATTCTGGCCCCGTCGGGGGGATACAGTTTGGCCCCTCTGCTCTTCTTTGAAGCCAAAATCGTTGATTTTACTACGGTTTGGGCCCCATTTTGGCGTCCTGAGGGGGCCGCGCTCATCTTCCTTCATGGCAAAATCATTGATTTTACAAAGGTTTTTGGCTCATTTTGTCCTTCTCAGGGGGCAGCGCTCCTTTGCGCTTCTGAGGAGGTCGCAAGAGGCCCCCAGATGGCCCCAAGAGGCCCCCAGGAGCCTCCCAAGAGGCCTCCAAGAGGCCCCCAAGAGGCCCCCAAGAGGCCCCAAGAGGCCCCCAAGAGGCCCCCAAGAGGCCCCCAAGAGGCCCCCAGAGGCCCCACGAGGCCCCCAAGAGGCCCCCAAGAGGCCCCCAAGAGACCCCCAAGAGGCCCCAAGAGGCTCCAAGAGGCCCCCAAGAGGCCCCACGAGGAGATGCCCCCAAGATGTCTCCAAGAGGCCCCAAGAGGCGCCGAAGACGCCCTCAGAGGCCTCCGACCAAAAGACATCTGCTTCTACTTCTACTCCTACGACTACTACTACTACTACGACTTCGACTCCACGCCCGAACGACTCACACCAGGACGAGGCGCCCGAACGACTCACACCACGAGGAGCCCGAACGACTCACACCAGGACGAGGGCCCCGAACGACTCACACCACGAGGAGCCCGAACGACTCACACCAGGAGGAGGAGACCGAACGACTCACACCAGGACGAAGGGCCCGAACAACTCACACCACGAGAAGCCCGAACGACTCACGCCAGGACGAAGAGCCCGAACGACTCAAACCACGACGAAGAGCCCGAACGACTCACACCAG